CACAAAACCAGCCATGCTGGTATCAAAGTTTAATCACACTCTAGATCTTGTTTTAACATATGGCATATAAACTGAACATTTAACAGTGTTTCCTGAAAACCCTCTCCTGTCTGATCATTTCCTGATAACATTTACATTTACAATAATTGATTACACAGCGGTGGAGAGTAGACTTTATCACAGTAGATGTCTTTCTGAAAGCGCTGTAACTAAGTTTAAGAATATAATCCACCCACTGTTATCATCTTCAATGCCCTGTACCAACATAGAGCAGAGCAGCTATCTGAATGCTACCCCAACAGAGGTCGATTATCTTGTTAATAATTTTACCTCCTCACTGCGTACGACTCTGGATACTGTAGCTCCTGTGAAAACTAAGGTCTCAAGTCAGAAGTACCTGACTCCGTAGTATAATTCTCAAACACATACCCTAAAGCAGATGACTGATAATCTGGAGAGGAAATGGCGTGTCACAAATTTAGAGGATCATCATTTAGCCTGGAGAAATAGTTTGCTGCTTTATAAGAAAGCCCTCCGCAAAGCCAGAACATCTTACTATTAATCACTGATTGAAGAAAATAAGAACAACCCCAGGTTTCTCTTCAGCACTGTAGCCAGGCTGACAAAAAGTCAGAGCTCTTTTGAGCCAACCATCCCTTTAACGTTAACTAGTAATGACTTCATGAACTTCTTCACAAATAAAATTTTTATCATTAGAGAAAAAAATTACCAATAATCATCCCACAGATGTAATATTATCTACTCTTAGTACCATTGATGTTAAGTTAGACTCTTTTTCTCCAATTGATCTTTCTGAGTTAACTTCAATAATTACTTCCTCCAAACCATCAACGTGTCTTTTAGACCCCATTCCTACAAAACTGCTCAAAGAAGTCCTGCCATTAATTAATTCTTCGATCTTAAATATGATCAACCTATCTCTAATAATCGGCTATGTACCACAGGCCTTCAAGCTGGCTGTAGTTAAACCTTTACTCAAAAAGCCATCTCTAGACCCAGCAGTCTTAGCTAATTATAGGCCAATCTCCAACCTTCCTTTAATATCAAAAACTCTTGAAAGAGTAGTTGTCACACAGCTAACAGATCATCTGCAGCGGAATAGCTTATTTGAAGAGTTTCAGTCAGGTTTCAGAGCTCATCACAGCACAGAAACAGCTTTAGTGAAGGTTACAAATGATCTTCTTATGGCCTCTGACAGTGGACTCATCTCTATGCTTGTCCTGCTAGACCTTAGTGCAGCATTCGATACTGCCGACCATAATATCCTATTAGAGCGGTTAGGTAGGTATTACAGGTACTGCACTGCAGTGGTTTGTATCATATCTATCTAATCCAATTTGTGCATGTAAATGGAGAGTCCTCTTCACACACTGAGGTTAATTATGGAGTTCCACAGGGTTCAGTGCTAGGACCAATTCTGTTTACATTATACATGCTTTCCTTAGGCAGTATCATCAGAAGACGTAGCATACATTTTCACTGCTATGCCGATGACACCCAGCTCTATCTGTCCATGAAGCCAGATAATACACACCAATTAGTTAAACTGCAGGAATGTCTTAAAGACATAAAGACCTGGATGGCCGCTAACTTTCTGCTTCTTAATTCAGATAAAACTGAGGTTATTGTACTCGGCCCTGAAAAGCTTAGAAATATGGTATCTAACCAGATTCTTACCCTGGATGGCATTACCTTGGCCTCCAGTAATGCTGTGAGGAACCTTGGAGTAATTTTTGACCAGGATATGTCCTTCAACACACATATTAAACAAATATGTAAGACTGCATTCTTCCATTTGCGCAGCATCTCTAAAATTAGAAATATCCTGTCTCAGAGTGACGCTGAAAAACTAGTTCATGCATTTATTACTTCCAGGCTGGACTACTGCAATTCATTATTATCAGGATGTCCAAAAACCTCACTGAAAAGCCTTCAGCTAATCCAAAATGCTGCAGCAAGAGTACTGACAGGGACTAGAAAGAGAGAGCATATTTCTCCTGTTTTGGCTTCCCTTCATTGGCTTCGTGTTAAATCCAGAATTGAATTCAAAATCCTGCTCCTCACATACAAGGTCTTAAATAATCAGGCCCCATCTTATCTTAATGACCTTGTAGTACCATATCAGCCTCTTAGAGCACTTCGCTCTCGCTCTGCAAGCCTACTTGTTGTTCCTAGAGTATTTAAAAGTAGAATGGGAGGGAGAGCCTTCAGTTTTCAGGCCCCTCTTCTGTGGAACCAGCTTCCAGTTTGGATTCGGGAGATAGACACTATCTCTACTTTTAAGATTAGGCTTAAAACTTTCCTTTTTGCTGAAGCATATAGTTAGGGCTGGACCAGGTGACCCTGAATCCTCCCTTAGTTATGCTGCAATAGACGTAGGCTGCCGGGGGATTCCCATGATGCATTGAGTTTTTCCTTTCCAGTCACCTTTCTCACTCACAATGTGTTAATAGACCTCTCTGCATTGAATCATACCTGTTATTAACTTCTGTCTCTCTTCCACAGCATGTCTTTTATCCTGTCTTCCTTCTCTCACCCCAACCGGTCGCAGCAGATGGCCCCGCCCCTCCCTGAGCCTGGTTCTGCCGGAGGTTTCTTCCTGTTAAAAGGGAGTTTTTCCTTCCCACTGTCGCCAAACTGCTTGCTCATAGGGGGTCATATGATTGTTGGGTTTTTCTCTGTATCTATGAAGCGCCTTGAGGCGACTTTTGTTGTGATTTGGCGCTATATAAATAAAATTGAATTGAATTGAATTGAGTAGCAATGAAGATGAGGATCTGGCTGCAAACCGGAGGCACGGCCAAGCATAAATACTCACTGATGAATAGGTAGCTCTCAGGTGCACAAGGCAGGCCTGGTAGACACGACCTGCCCACACATCCACCTGGGAGACAAAATCAAATAACCTTTTATTCGTCACATAAACAATCACGTAAACAATTTCATGTAGTGAAATGCTTTTGTGTCTGAGCTGGGACAGGCTGCAGACGTAGCCGCGCCATTTCAGGGCTTGGTTTTAGTAGGGGGGGTCTAACCAGGACCGCTCCTGGATACCGGGTGGGAATCGAATTTGCAACTCCTGCTCCAAAGATGTGTAAGGAGGAAGAACAAAACAAAAGCCCCACCCCGCCCACAGCTCCGGCCTCTTTAATGAACTCAAACTTTTTTTCATGGCTCTGAAGTCTAAAAACATACAAATAACAATTTTTGTACTTATCACAAAAGTTTAGAAAGTCCTGTGTTACAGCAGCCAAGGTATTAACCACTACCTCCAACAGAGTAGCTTCTATAAAGTAGAGCTCAATTAAATAAAAGCTAACTAAATCAAAGAGTTCATCAGGCTGAAAATCACCCTAAAGAGCTCAATAGGAAAAAAAACTGAGTTCATCAAAGGAGCTCAAAGTATATAAAAGTCTTTATCTAAATAAAACTAAAGTGGGGGTGTGACCCCGGCATGGATGGTTCAGAAATATAAGGCTGTCAGACACAAAGCTGTGTGTTTCAGAAAACACGCTGCAGCTCCTTTCTGTCAGCTGTGAGGAACGTAGGTTTAGCAGGTGAGTGATGCAATTGTGCAGACACATGATGTCAAGACTGCTCGCTCTGCCTGCAATGATCCACATGATAAATAAATCACTGAAACCATTGAACTTCCTGTGTGTTGGGTCTGCTACCTGGTCCATACTGGTCCTGGTCCTTATTGTCTGGCTGACAGATCACTGACACCCACAGCTCATCCTGGCCTGTTTATCTGGAATGTTTTTGTCCACATGTGGAGGTTATATTATCATATATATCATAATATAACATTTTTTATCAAAATCTTTTTTTTGTTATTCACATTGTGGCAGCTGTCAGGACTTTCTAAATATCTGCACAAAACATGAACAGAAATTCTGGTTTTATTTATGTGGTTTCATTTATTTATTTATTTTACTGTTTTTTATTATATTTTAATGTTTGAGTGTTTGATCAACAATGAAATATTTAAGGTCTTTCATTTGGGTGTTTGTTGAAGCTTGAGGTGGTGTGAACGAGGACGGTGTCTGAGCCTGATGACTGTCAGACTGTCTGCACAAGTTTCATGCCTCAATCTGGGCGTCAGCCGAGCTGTGTGGAGTTTTTTTGGTCCATGTGTTTGATTATGCAAATATTTTATGCTGCATGTCCATCCTGATGTAACCTTCCTCATTCTTCTGAGCCCCCGTAACCTGTGGGCCCAGCAGGCCACCTTTAACATGGACGAGCAGGGAGGGGAACAGCTGGGTCTACCTATACCCACGTTTCCTGATTTTTTTTTTTTCAAATGTTTTGATTGTGATTTTTAAAAATAAAATCTTGAAAACCAGGTGAGGGTGAAAGGTGAAGTGCATGATGGACAGGCCGGCAGTCTGTGACAGTGTTAGTAACACAGCCGACTCGATTACAAAAAGAAAAAATGTTTTCATTTGTTGAGATGATCAGGAGTGAAGATGAGTGAACTGACTACAAGGGGAAGGTTTTAGTTTTCAGATTTACCTGATTTATTGTCACAGTGAGGAGAAGCAGGTCCTCATAATGACACTGAAAGACAGCAAAGAAGAAAGTCAGAAATGAGTGTGAACTACAAAAACAGCCACTCATTCAATCTGACCAAGTGTGATTTCCACAGAGAAGAATCTCAGTGTTACAGATGAAGTTTCACCCATTAAAAGTGATTTATAATCACACATGATCAGGAGGCCCAAAGGCTCTTAAATACATGAATAAAAGTGAGCAGCAAATGGAGTTAAAATAACGACAACTAAACATGATTTGTGTGTTTCACACCGATAAGCTGATGAACATGATGATAACACCAGTTTCAATCTTGCGCTGAGTAAAGGATGTGGCTGAATGCCAAATTTGATGGATTATAATCTTATTTGGCAATGAAGCAAACTGACGTATAAAAGGTTCACCTCGACACTCCTACAAACACAACTTCACCTTTGTGCTGGCATCATGCTGGGTCTGCAGAAATTTCTGTTTGTCCATGTTCTGGCATGCCTCGGACGACTTGGTAAGAACTGCAAGTCTTTGTTATTATACTCCAATTGTTTAATGGAACAGTAACTTCATTTTGATTTCCTTTTTTCAGCACATGGAAGTGATATCATAAATGGTGAAAAAGCCCCAGAGAACTCCTCGCACTACATGGCCTCTGTGCAGAACAAAAAGGGTCAACATGTTTGTGGAGGATTTCTCATCACTGAGGACTTTGTAGTCTCGGCTGCACACTGTGATGAATAGTGAGTAATCAGACATCTTTTCCTGTACTCTCTAACTCATGTCACTGAAATGCATTTAGAAAATGTGTTGATTTCCTTTCATTGATCACTCCTTCAGCAACCCCACAGACGTTGTTCTCGGCAACCACAATCTCAAGAATGACAATCATCAAAAAATAAAGATTAAAAACAAAAACATTCGTGAAAATTATCAAAACATTGGACAGGGTAATGACATCATGCTCCTTGAAGTAAGTACATGTTCGTGTGGTTTTATTATTCAAATTATAACTAAAGAACTATCGTATGAACATATTTATATTTTTTACTTCATGTCATGTCTCCAGCTGCTTTACAAAGTTCAGCTAAATGAAAGGGTACAAACAATTCAGCTTCCACCTGCTGAAATACACCTTGAAGAAAACCAAGTGTGTCAGGTGGCTGGATGGGGAAAAACTAAAACTCGTGGTAAATCTGTTGATGAGCTGAGGGTGGTGGACGTGTCTGTCATTAACCAAAGGGTCTGTGAGGAACAATGGCCTGGTCTTCCTGCCAATGTTATCTGTGCAGGTGGATACAAAACAACCAAAGGATTCTGTCAGGTATGTTTTCTGTCCTTTCAGTTTAAAATGGCTCCTTGATTGCAAATATATAAAAAACTGAATAAAAGCTGGTAAATTAAAATTCTTCCTCCTCACAGGGAGATTCTGGTGGTCCTCTGCTGTGCGACGGGTTGGCTGTTGGCGTTGTTTCTTTCAACTATAAAGAAAACTGCAGTTACCCCAATAAACCCAACATCTATACAGACATCTCAAAATACCGTCAGTGGATTGACGGGATTGTGAAATCCAGAAAATATGAGGAGTAAAAACTTCACTGACAGTTTGGCTTGTATATTATTGAAATGTCAGGATTTCTGATTCTCTGTTAGCATAACCAAAAATGAAAATAAAAATATACCGCAGCATTAAACCTGTGACTTCCTCATTTATTTTGAACATGTACTGTACATTTAAATAATAAATTCTTCCAAATGATATATACTCAGATAATATTCATGTATAACTATATTAGTGTAGACCTACAATACAAATACAACAACATTTACTTCACCAAACAAAGGTCACTTTGCAGATGCATTAGAAATTAATTTAAATAGCTCAAAATAATAAAACGTATTTATTTCTCCACCCAATATAAAAATTATACACTCTGTTCTGTTTTATTGTCATCTTCAGAAAACAACAGATGATTATCACCAGCCACAGTCTTCTCAAAGTTTGCTGAGTCATGTACACTTAAATAATATAAATGAAACAAACATAAATGTACCTATGTAGTGATCTGTGTGAAGCATATGTATATTCCAGCACATGCACAGTTACACACTTTATTTTAAAGTGAGTGGGGAGTGTGTTGTGTAAATGATGCAAACAGACATCAAGAGAATTTGTATGGCAGTAGATTGATAAGAGAGACTACGTGATGCTAGAGGTGAAGCAGGAAACTGCTTCGTGTGATCCATCACCGAATTCAAAGAAATGTTTGTTGATAGACATTCACCAAACTCCAGATAAAAACATGCTGATGGCTGCACATCGTTACACATCTGTAAACATGTTTTCGCTGCATAAACCATAGCACACATAAGTGATATCACACATGATTAAATAACCCCAGCTGTTATGAAAGCAGACAGAAAGAACCCAAATCGGACACCAACAGATTCAGTTTACATATCAATAAGGAGTGGGAAGAAGTGCATGCCTATTTAATCCCACCACTTTGCTATAAGTTATCAGTTTTTAATTATCTTTATTGTTATAAACCTCAACAACAACTATAAGTATGCTGCTAATTACACATTAGCAAACATAAGGTACATAAAATACAAAATATTGTCACATTATCTTGTTTTTAAAGCTTCATGATTACATGCACACATCAAAGCAAGTGCCTCCAGTTTTGGAATGTCAATTAAAACTCGGAATAAGTGTAACGCATCATACTGATGTCTTCGAAAAAAAAAACATTCTCTCTCTCTCTCTTATTGTCTTCAAACACTGTGAAAAGTGAAGAGAACACAAAGTTTACAACATAAATATCTTTTATCTTATCAAAGTCTCTCATGTTAGTGTCCATAAACAGTCTTGAGCCAGCAGAACAGAAAAAATGCAAAATAATAGATATTACTGAAAATGTCCTGTACATGTATGCAGCATTTTATAAACAATATACATGAAAACCATACCTTGTGTGCCTCTTGGACCACATGCAGAATAACATTAATGTTGTGGCTGTAGCAGCATCTGTAGCTCCATGCTAGTTCTGACCCACAATGCCAGGGTTGTGCTCTCAGCCAAACTCTGGTCATGTGACCATTACAAACTCTACCTCAAACAAACTTTACATCTTTAACAAACCCTTATTTTGTAACCAGTTCAAGTTCAATCAATGCTGCACGTTTATAATCTTATCCAATACATTTTGTATTCTTTCCAACAAATAAATGAACTAAATTAAGCATGAATCTATCACATGAAATAAACAACTTTATTTTAACTGTCTCAGGGACAGTTACAATAAGTATGAAGTAGTAACTAACTGAAGACAGACATCCATCCATTCATCAGTTCATCCATCTTTCCATTTCCTTCTGCTTATCTGGAAGCCCAGACTTCCAGCTTTCCAGCCATCTCCTCCAACTCACACCGGCGTTCCCAGGCCATTCAGGGGTTGTAAGCTCGCCATCATGTCCGCACTGGGGACTCCTCCCAGTGGGACATGTCTAAGACACCTCGCCTAAAAGAAGGCATCCTAGGCAGATGCCAGAACCACCTCAACCGGCTCTTTTTGCTGTGTAGTAGCTCTACTTTGAGCTCCTCTTGAATGACTGAACTCTGCACTCCCTCTCTGAGAGAGAGGCCAGCCCCGCCTCGGAGAAAACTCCATCACTTGTATCCAAGATCTCATTCTTTCAGAGCTTGTGACCGTAAGTGAGGCTGGGGATGCAGATCAGCTGGTGCACTGAAAGCTTTGCTTTTATACTCAGCTCTCTCTTCATCTTCATCATTGATCTTTTTCTCTTCTTTATATCTCATTAAAACTATATAGTTGTACCTCATCTTGAAGAGCTTTACACTCAGACCGTTCCTTTCACTCCAAGCACAGAAACACAAAAAGTATAATTTTCTTCTCTCTCAACAAAAAATCACATCCAATAAACTGTCCGATAAAAGTCCATGAAAATCCCAAAAACACAGTTGTTTTTGTCTGTGGAGTTTCTGACATATTCTACTGATTTCGTAAATTAAATCTCTTAACACCTAGTGTAACATATTTGATATAATTTTCCCCAGGGAAAACCTTAATAAATTACACAATACATTTTTAAACAATTTTGTTAAAGGGCAAACATAGTAAATATGATTGAAATTAAAATGTAATTAATTTTTTAGACAAATTTGTCAAATGGTTCAATAATATCTCCATTTTCAAAGAAATGTACTTTTCTAACAAATACATCATATTTCAGGCACCAAGGAGTTAAATGCAGAGAGATGTATAAACACACAGAGTGAAGAAGAAACATTCAATGCATCATGGGAATTCCCCAGCAAGCGGAGGATTCAGGGTCACCTGATCCAAAACTAGCTATATGCTTTAGCAAAAAGGAACGTTTAAAGCCTAATCGTATAAGTAGAGACAGCGTCTGTCTCCTAAATCCAAACTGGAAGCTGGTTCCCCTGAAAACTGAAGGCTCTCCCTCCCATTCTACTTTTAAATACTCTAGGAGCAACAAGTAAGCCTGCAGTGTGACAGTGAAGTGCTCTAATGAGTGTGATATGGTACCATAAGATGATTAAGGTATCATAAAAAACTGATCACTGTTTTTTATGTTATACAATTCTATACAAGTGTTGTCTTGTTGTTCAGCTCCACCTTACATGTTGTGTAGTGATGCACCACCTACTGGAATGGAAAGTAAATTACATTGGAGTGTGGCTCCTGAGCAAACCACTCCTGTGGTCTTGTGTCTTTGACCTACAGTGATCCGTTTCCTGTATTTAAGGTTGACTGTTTGCTGATGCACCATGTGGATGCTCCCGTTATTCTAATAAGGTGGTGTAAAGGAAATATTAGCCACTGCTGTTAGCTTCCTTTGACAGTATTGGAATGCTTCTTGATATTTTGGGATGAATACCTCATTAACAAGTGTTTTTCAACTAAGTCTCTCATCTGTTATTACCCCAAGAAAGCTCATCAATCAAGCTAAAGCGTGCTGTTATTGTCGCAGTACTGGGTCTGTGAGCCAGTGTTTTTTGGTTTAAGTTATACTCTTTGAATTATTGTTTTCTGTATTACATTTATAGTTCCTGGTTGAGGTTTCTGTTCTGTTTCTGTGCCTCCCCTGTGTTCCTGGTGTCATGACTCTAGTGAAGGTTTAGTTCCAGTCTCCTTATTTGTCTCCGTATGTTGTTGTCTTAGTTGTGTGTCACTCTGTGTGCATTTCTACTGCATGTCTCCTGTTGTATTTCTCCATGTTCCAGGTTGCATGTTTCTCCTCACTGGTCTTCATGTTCCGTGTTTCCCTGTCTCAGGTTTCTAGTCACAGGCTTTTTGTTCCTTTGTATTATTCTTTTGTAGCTTCTCCCAGTTTAGGTTTTGTTAGTTTAAGTCACTGCCATGCCCTGCTTTTGTTTGCATTTCTCTTTCCAGTAAAAATAAAACTCACTCACAGTTAATCATTAGTGCCTGCATTTGGGTCCACACTCCTCACCGCTCCACAGTTATGACAGTTATTCATTTTAGTATTCATCTCATCCAATAAATTTGGGAATGAAAAATATTAGCATAATGGAAAAAGTATAATTTGTTGGGCACAATACACGTCATTGATATATATGTTGAACAATTTAGGGTCCAACAATGACCAATATAATCAGTGAGTTTCATTAAATCCATTTATTTTTGCTCACAACAGTGTTTTGTAATGTTGTTTGTTTTATCTGCAGCTCAGTTTAAAGACACTGATCAGCTCTGAGTGCATTAAACTTACCCCAACACATGATTTCAGATTGAAAGAAACAGGAGCAACACTCAGTTTATTCCAGCCTGGTTCACTAATAGGTCTGTTTCTATCATGTCCTCCACCCCTTCCTCTTAAATTCTATATACATATATATATATGTCATCCACAAGCATCCAGTAGTCCAGCTTTCTGAGCTGATCAAAGATGAGACAGGTTTGTATATTTAGGACAAAATAACACAACGATGTTTGGTTACTGAGCAGCACCTTTTAAATGATGACCATTACCAGGTAATGTGGGCGTGTAGACACAGCAAAGATCAGAAGGATCATTCCTGTTCAAGCATGTTTATAGTCCTGTCAGTTCTGTTAAATGCATATCAGTTCATATCAATACTATTTAGAATGTCCATGATAAAAACACACAATGCATCTGTGAAATGGGTGTAAATCTATTTTTTTTTTTAAATTACCCAGACAGTTATGGTTTTTCTTCCCTACCTGCAAATTTGCTCACCTGGTCTTCCCACTTTTGTATGATCTCTGCATCCTCCTCACTCATTCTTTGCTCTAACAATCACACAAAAATGATAATAACAAAAATAATCTGAGTTCTTATTAGAGCGGGTTGGAGATCCACATTTGATAACAGTGCAAATCGCTGCTTTGTTATGTGAAATGATCACCATCAGTGAATGTGGACAAAGCACAAGGTACCTTGGCATTATAACTGTGCTTCTGACTACATGTCCACTGTTACCTCTCAAGCTCTGTGCTGTCACGCAAATAGTAAATGTAATAGTGTAGCAGAAATTATTGCAACATTGTAATTGAGCTGCTGCTGATAGGTAACGGCTTTAAATTCATGTAGAAAGAAAACCCTGGTTCTGTCACTACCTATAAATGTGCTGTAAACAGATCATGAA